CGGTTTTAATTTGTAAATATAATTTTTAATCGTATTCTCTCTCCAGTATCACTGTTATGTTATTTCGATTTGTATAGGCCTTTGGTTACTTCGACATTTTCTTTTTTTACTTTAGCATCATTTTTAAAACTTGATTCAAAATGCCATCAGAAGAGTTAAATTATGAAGAAATCTAAATTGAAAAAAATTTACAGAAAGTTTCCATTAAATTGTAAAGAAGAAAAAGAAGAAGAAGAAGAAGAAGAAGAAAGTTAAACATGTTTATAACATTTAATATGAAGTTCGAATTTTCGTAAGTTCAAAAACACAGTTTATGAAATTTGCATATGCATGGGTAACTTAACAGAGAAGAATACTAATAAGTATGTAGTTATTATCATAGAAAACTATTTTTCAAACGGGATCAAATTATTATTTTCGTACGTAATTCTTTCCTAGAAAGAATGGCAATTTTCTACAAAAATAGAAACGTATGTAAAAATTAGCCTAAGCGGCATCTATATCTTTTAAAGTAATTTCCGAGAATGAATCTAATTTAATTACCGAATTTAAAATGTAAAATAATAATAATAAAAACAAAAAAAAATTATAAAATATTTTATACGTTTGTATGCCTCAGTCTCCACTACGTAGATTCGAATGAGAAAATTAATATCAAACTGTTTTAAGCGGGTCAATATCTTCAGGCAATTTACAATGAAGAGGACGGATGAGTTAAGAAGTCACGTGGATAAAACTTCCTGAAAGATCTTAAGTAGAACATGGCTTAAGGGAAGTCGAAATGCTTTTACAAACTTCTGTAAAGTATTTAACATAACAACATCATACAATTGATTCGGAAATAGTAGATTCGAGTTGTAAATTAGATTACATTTTAAAGGATAAATGTATTCTACTCAAATCTTATTAATGATCATCAGAATTTTCGCCTAATAAGTTTTGTTTTTTTTTATTATTTCTTTTTGTTATTCTTATTAAACATGTCCGAATCTATCGTCGGGCGCGTTATTTAAAATTTAACTGCGGGACATTTTCAAATTAACTTGTCAAAAACATCCAAAAACAATTGTAAAAGACGTTTCAATGTTCAGTAAATTATTGGAAGCGAAAACAGGAAATTATTTCTGTTAATAAGCTGATCTTCGCTTTATTTTTAAGTTACTTGTTAAATCAGTAATTACTTGTTATAATCTTTATTATTTTGTTTGAAGATGCGAATGAATTTCTTGACGAATTCGTATGTTTGTTTTTTAAAAAAAAACTCTTTTTTTTTTAAAGTCTTGTTTCCGAATATGTAAAATATCTCGACGATTTGAATAAATATATGAAAAATATCGTATATGATTCCTCGAACTGTGCCGTGTTTAATAGCACCCATGCCGGCTAATGGACGAAGAGTAAATGACATAGATTCGAAGATTTTATTTATCTTAGTATGCATCGTACGTAATACGAGTACTTTGATCTGAAAATAATGATAAATGAAATAGTCTATCTACCGTATGGCCTTAATTATTGAAATGTAACATTCCTTGATATTGAATTAGTGTATTTGTTACGCGAGTCATCATCGCATAAAGGTTATAGACTGCCTTCGATTTCTATTCTAGTTAGACCTAATCTAAGTAAAATAGGTTCAGTGAATGTGATAAAATCCGTATTGTCCATGAAAAATTATGGTGGATGGATCGTGTTCGAATCCTAATCTGCGATGGCAAAAGATGGTTGTAGAATTACGTGTAATCGTATTAATATTAAAGCACAATTAACTCAAATGAGGACTAAAAAGATCTTTTGCATCTCTAAATGAGTTCCTCCAAAATTTAACTTAAAGTCTATCTTCACAATTAAGAGAGAGAGAGAGAGAGAGAGAGAGAGAGAGAGACATATTATCTTTAAAGTAAGCTAAATGACAGACTCTCGTGAAAGAATTCTTCTAATTATTCTATAAAATATTTAATAATATATTCTCCAAATTATAATATTTGTAATCTTTTGTAAGTGATCTTTACTAATTATAATTAAAATTAATATTTCGAACAACTTATAAAATTACTTTTAGATTATATTAATTTAATACTAATTGTTTAAACTGATAGAATCATCGAATTTACTATCAAAATGAAATAATAATATTCGTTGCGATAATAAAACGATGATTTAATTTTAATTTTATCTAAATTTATATGCGAATTTAACTTATTTTTATAGAAAAATGTGAATAAATTTTCATGTTTAATTTATTATTTATTTATTTTCTTTAATTTTCCCATTGTTCCGAGAAGACTTCTTCCTATCAATATTAATTTGTAGCTTTAGGAAAATAAAGAAATAAGATCGTAATATAAGTTCAAAACTTAGAAGAAGAAGAAAAAAAACTGTATATTTAATATTTATTTTAATATAAACTTAATCCGAAGGTGTAGGCCATATTTGTATGAACGTATATTTCTATAAGATTTACTTAAACGTATTGATTTTAGTATTGAAACTAGATTTGGGTGATTAAAACTTGGGTTTACTTCTCTATTTTTCGTATAAAACAATACTTTATACGATCATTAACTGTTATATTTATTTAATATTACTTAATAATTATTATTTACAACAATAAATGCTTAATTTACGTCTTTATAACAAGTAAAAGTCGGTTTAAAATCAGATTCGTCATCGTTTTCATCGATACGAAAGAATCCTTCGGAAAGAAAAAAATGACAAAAACTAATTAATAAGCATCAAAAAGTAAAAAAGAAAAGGAATTTAATGTTATAAAATATATGGAATATTTCATAATTTTATAACTCATTAAGAAAAATATTAATTAAATGTCATATGATTCAATATTAAAATTACAAGCTAGTTTATACTCTATATAAATATAACCGGTTTTAATTTGTAAATATAATTTTTAATCGTATTCTCTCTCCAGTATCACTGTTATGTTATTTCGNGGTGCAACCGTCTTTTAAGTTCGTGAAGATTTCCCTTAAAATTGTTTCGGAATTCTTATATTTTTAATTATTTATGAGATCAAATTTTAATTTTAGAATTAAGTAACTTTATTTTTGTGTCACGTACTAAATAAATTCTTCCCAAAAAATTAAATGTTTTTAATGTATATGATCTACTAATTGAACGTCAAGTTATATTGCTATAAAAATCTTTTAAATTAATCTTGCCATTAATATATATATATATATACAGTATATAATTGATTTTAATATATTTTTAAGTTACAAAATAATATAACGAAAACGTAGCCAGTCTAATAATACAGCAAGATTTTTTAAATCCGTTTGGAAAATTTTTTCTTTCATAAGATCTAAAGAGCCTAATTCGGGCAGAGATTTAAGTTCAAATAGCAAAAAATCTCAAGCAAAGTCTATCTGACAGTTAACTTTATAAGTTTTAATTTATTAGGAAAACGTTTGTGTGTATTTTCTGTTTTATTTTTAATGTATATTTTAATGCTAGATATAGACTTTTCGTGTAGTTTGCTTTGAATTTTACCTCTTATAACGGGTATTTTTTTAAAAATTTATAGAGTGAGATTGTCTATGTATAAGTTAACTTACTTTTTATTTAATCACTTTCTTATTTTCTTCTACATTTTTATATCAGAAACGAAATTATGTTCATGTAAAATCTATAAAAACCGTAATGTAAGAATGAAAAACATAAATTTTAACGCATAGAAAGAGAAATTAAGAAGACTACTTTATGTATTAATTGATTATAGGAATCTTATTTATTTTTCTCATAAAGTAATGATCAGTAATAAACTCATAATGGCTAATTATTATCTATCGAACACGAATATTGTTAATTTTCTACTCTATAAATCAGTTTATTGCTTATAAAACTGGCTAAAGGAAATGTTACTTGTAGGAAACAGTTTAACTAATTATAACAATCTATTAATTATACTTTAAAAATAATGAATTAAAATAAAGCCATAGGCCAAATCTAACTGTAAAGATAGAGGTTTGTATCTCATTAAAATCGAGTTTAACAATTTCTTAATTATTCTCCTGCATAGCCTAACTACATATTATTCTAAAGATGGGATTTTTCTATAGAATTATTGCGAAGTTTTTTTTTTCTTTTGCGTATCGAAAATTTAGGTCCTAAGAGGACGAAATTTAAATTTTGCCTTAGGAAGATGTGTATAAAAATTTAAAATAATTCAGCAGTCGATTAGTTTATAACTATGATATAAAACACTTATTATTTGTAGTTTTAATCCTTTTCTTTTTAGAGGAAAATTATGCGAAAAATTAAAGCATCGTCCGTAATCGATATTTAATAGTTAAGTTACGTATCTAGTTTACTATTGATTGATAGCATCCCGCAGTTCTTAGAGAAAACATAGTACAACATATTTGGTTGAGTAGTAAGATTTTCTTAACGGTTGAAGAGCTAGAAAAGCATCTAAAGAGGCATTTCGGAATTAAATAAGGAGTGTATATACCTAGGTATATGAAAGAAATATTCTGTTTAGACGACAGTTTCACATGCGAGAAGATAGAGTCGGTTATCTGTCAAGACGTAGGTGGGGAGGAGAGAGAGAGAGAGATGCTTTAATAACCGTTCCGTTGATGGAAGTAACTGATCCCCAGATGAGTGTCGTCCAATGAAATGATTACCTGATCTTTAACCTTAAAGCAGTCGCGCGGAGAAGGTGACAAGACGCTTCGAAGCGTCGTCCTTTGACACTCGTCAACTTAACAGTCTAATCCCTTAATGTCGGCATCCGCCACGTCGTCGACCCCTTAATCCTCTGCAGCCACGCGCTCCCTACTTATATCCGAGATATGCAAAACAAAGGAAGGTGGAGCCATCCTTAGGGCGGCTCCGCACTAGGTAATTAGAAAGCTTTTTGCCGGAAGCAAACCGGTCTTTGATTCGTTTTAGCTAATTTAAATAGTGTAAGTTAATAATTTGCATCAAACGGTGATTGGAGGGGTTTTGATCGTATTTTTCTCTCTGTATATCTTCAGGCGTTACGGTACGAAATGTGCTGGATGCTGTCAGGGTATATCTCCGACGGACTTGGTGAGGAGAGCGAGAAATAAAGTTTTCCACCTCAAATGCTTCACCTGTATGGTGTGTCGGAAACAGTTATCTACGGGGGAAGAACTCTACGTCCTGGACGAGAACAGGTTCATCTGTAAAGAAGACTATCTCAACAGTCGTTATAACCAAGGTAAGATGGCATCGAAATCTAAAAATGGTAATCGAGCGTGTTATAAATATGTAAAACCTTTCCTATCGTAAGTTTTGTAAATGTAATTAGCTTTGCATTAAAATTTCCTCCACTGTTTGTTTCTGCCGGTAGCTGCGAGCAATTAAATTTCAATTAGCAAGAAAAATAGCGATTTTTGTAAAGAAAACAACCGGTCGGAATTAACGATCCGTACTAGACATCTACCAATACCTTTCCAGTTTCTTAATCTAGGGTTTCTTTTTTCTCACGAGACTTGTTCAGTCGTAACACGATCTTGTCGTCTCCCCTCTTCACTTCCGAACCGGGATTGAAAAGTTTTAATATCTTTCGGGATTAAGGATTAGGCAGTGTTGCACGGATCAATGCACTTGGACACGAAGTTAGGATGAAACTTTTGTGAAATCCGAAACCTCACTTCGCTTCGTGCAGTTGACGATTGTTTCCAAACAAATTATCATGCAGTTTTTTTTCCTTATACATACAATTTTTTTTTCTTTCTACAAGGGCAGACACTGATAAATATTCTTTTTCCTTTTTTTTTCCTCTTGTAAGTTGACCACAACTCCACCTTCCGTGTCATGGTTTAGTGAAAGGCCCAACTACCGCACCACGCCCTATCGATCACTGAAAATACCCTTATTGCAAGACAAAATGAGCTTTCGATTTCTTAAACTTGTCTAATTTTATAAGAGATTGGGTTTGTTTTTCACCTAATAAAAGATAAATCTCGAAGATTCGAAAGCCTTTCTTATACTAAACATGTGATTGCAACCGTCTAGTAAAACTTAAATTGGTGGAACAGGTGACGATAATCGCATACGGCCGAAATCGTGACAATTTTAGGAATTGTAGTGAAGGAAAGAGAGAGAGAGAAAAAAAAAGGAAGTTTCACGTTTTCGTGAGGACGTTCAAAATCTATTCATTTAGTTTAACGACCTTTTAATTACAAGAGGCAAAGACAAATCGGTTCGAGCAACTTTCCATATTAAAGCGCTCTTCCTTCACACCTATCATTACGGACTCTTCCTAATTGCGCTAATGGGACGAGCTTTTTTTCTTTATCAGATTTAATTCCTATTCATTTAGATTATCCTATTTACTTAATGATGAATAAAGTTATTTATAAACGAATCGAAGGCAAAAAAAAAAAAAAATTCCTATTCGAAAAAGCTAGGAAGTTTTCTTTTGTTCCCCCATTGAAAACGTGCGTAAATGAAATCGGTGCATTTTTACGTAGCAATCTATTTAAATTCGAAACAGACAGAGGAAAAACAGGATCCAATGATAGAGAATTTACTTCTTACTTGGTTGACCACAATAGGATGAAAGGAATTAGTGGTCAAGGCTGATCGAAAGAAATTTCTACAGGATAAACTCCTCAGAGATATGAGAAAGATCAATCTGATTTCTGCTATTTCGGTTGCAAAACGAGTAGAAGAAAATGATTATTAGAAGATACAGAAAAGAAATTTACAATTATATATATATTTTTTTATTATTTTTCAAATTTTCTTATACAATAATTAACTCCATCTATTTCTGTTTTTATATTCCAAGTAAGGCGCAGTCATCATTTACATATTTACATTTCAATGTGGAGCGTAAACGATTGTTTATATTCAAGAAAAATAGTTAATTTTTGTTTAAGATTTAAAAAAGATTTCTTCAATTTAAATATACATTTTATTTTAAATATAGTTAAATTTCATGAAAATTTATTTAAAAAAATATTTAAGGCTAATTTCGTGTAGTTCGAGTTAAATCTTTTAAGAAAATTGTAAAAAAAACATAACTGAATTTTTATCTTTGAAAACTTTTATCTAAAATATTAAATTTTCACCATATTTTTTATATAATTTTACTTAATAACGGAACTAAACGACTATAGATGGATAGGCCCTTAACATTATACTATGTAATTATGAGCGATAGTAGTATGAATCCATAATAGAAGTTACACTTCTTGCACAGACATTAATTTTAAATTTAAACAAAAATCCAGATAATGTATACATTTAAACTTTTTATCGATAACTTTGACGAGATATTTTTGCTTTTTTTTTCTCTATTATTATTTAAAATAAAGTCAAAAATCGTAATCTCTATCATAACGCATCATAGACAACTTGATTATCTTCTTACCTTGGAGAAATTATAGAGAAACCAAATGCCATCACTTTTTATACATCCAAAGTAATATACAAAATATGTTTTTCACATTTTTACAACATATTTATGTTCTCGTTACTCTGTTTTTTCTTTATCTTTTATGTAAATAATGATCTAAAAGTCATTTAAAGCGAATTGAAGTTAAAATCCAAACGAAGGGAATTCCCAATTTGATCGAAATGTAATAAACAAACTAAAAAAAAAAAGAAAATACATTATTAAAGTTTGAATAATTAAAGTTTGTGATCGAAGATGGAGGAAGAAAAAAAAAAGGCAATTTTGGAAGCGAACTGGGAATAGCACGTCCCGATTGATATCCTTATCGAAGCAAAATGGTGTAGCCATTCATAAAAGTACCTCTTCAGAAATTGGTACTTTCTACGAACAACTACAAATTTCTTTCTTTTAAGAAAAGAAAAAGTCATTAATTCTACATTATATTCATCATTTACCTTGTTAAGAGAAGAAACGGATAACTCAAGAGAGAGATGCTTATATAAAGTTATCCGATGCGTGCCCAGTCGAGGATTTTCTTTCTTATAGATTAATAAACAAAAATTATCAATGGGGCAAACCTCTTAGACTTACAAAATATATCAAATAAAATTAGTTTTTAATTATATAAATACAGTTTATTAAAAATAAAAACTTACTTTCTATTTCTATTCTAAAAGTTAATTCTAGATAATTTGAGAAGCTGAAGATCGTGTATTGAATTGCTGACTAAAAATTCTTACTTTAATATTACTTTTAAGGCAGATTTTTCACGTTTATGACACAATTTGACTTGATATACAAGGATATAAGATATCATAGCTTTAAATTCTTCGCATCAAGAAAGTTGATTTTAAAATATCAAGATGCCTATGAATATATTTTTATCTTTAAATATTATTAATTTAAGACGAAGATTCGTACAAATTTGTAGTTTTTTATATAAAAAAAATATGGATAATATTAAGGCTTGTATCAATAGAAATTACTTTTGAAAGGAATTCTTAATGATTGAAAATGGCATCATCTTCATCGAGGTATTAAATTATAAAATTATTTTGCTTAATTTTGGACGGTAGAATGCCTTATTATTATCGATTCTCTTTAATTAGAATGGAAAATGAATATGAAAGCATGTTGGAAGGGTTTTAAACGAAAATCAAAGAGCGCATTGGGAATTGGTCATGTACCGTACGTATTGACCTGGAAAATGGATAACGTGAAGTCAAACCGAGAAAAAAAGTATGGAAAATCTTTGCCGATGACCGTAGTAGTGGTTCCATAATTTAGATTTACATAATGCGCAAAAATATAACAGAAAATGGCATTTGGCATTCAGCATCGGAACAGCCAGATCTTTCGTCTGATTTTCGAAGCGAAGATCTTTGATGAGATGACGTCATCAGAGATTGAAAAGAATGAAAAGAAAAATTGATCCTCCGCAAATAGGAATCAGATACATTAGCTGGGCCTATCTGACAGACACTCGGATCGCATTCCCATAAAAGCAGTTCTTCTGGTAAAGACAAACGGGAAAACCCGAGGCTAGTTATCGTTTCCTAGTGGGATGGGAGGATGGCACCTGGCCGCATCCGATTCCAAATTTTTCATCTTTTGTATTGGAGTCTAACCGAGCGTTTCGACGTTTCTCCCCGCGCGATATCTAATCCCGATCTTACTTGGAATCTGTCGGGAAGTCTGGACCAATCCCGGTAGCCAACTCGTGTGTTTAGTCTGTCGAGAAATCCGTCCTGATCCCCAGTCTTGGAAGGTAAGCTTTGTCTGTCAGGAAATCTAGTCTAATCCTATCTGCAGACTGCCAGGAAATCCGACCGTCGGGAGCCAGAAGCGGCTTAATCGACACAATCCCCCATCGAACGTTGGTTCACCCCTCGTTACTGCCCTTGTAATGTCATGAAAAACCGATCTGTGTGAAAAGAGCTCCTCATGAATTACGTTTATCGACAAGCCTAACGGGAAAATCGATGTCGTCTGCAAACAGCGCAGAGGGAGGTTGCAGGTGGCCCACCCCACCCCAGGTAACCGATAACACATTTAAGGCTATAAACTCGGAGGACGATGGCAGTTTTACAAGCAAACTTCATCGCAGGACAAAAGGACGCGTCTGGATGAACGTTCCGCCGTTATTTGTTAACCCTCCACTTTCTCCTCCTCTGCAAAATCCGCCCTTTTGGCAACAAGGGATTGAGTTCGCCAACTTTGCCCGTTACGACTTTGGAAAGAAGCATTAGTTTGGTTCGCCTGCCGTAAATACTCCGTAAGAGATGTGAAATTTCTCGATATATCCGTCTACCAGATTTGGGAGACTTCCGCGCGATTTTCTGTAGATCGCAGCACAAAACATAAAATCCCAAATATCTTTAAATATAACCATAAAAATCAACAGGAATTGTGTACGACTTAGAGAACAACGGAAAATGATTCTATTCTTGCTCTGTTAATACTTTTATAACATGTACAGTACAATAGTTTTTACTTTAGGGGTTACCTACATTGCATTGGAACTAAAGTAACAATTATCATTATGAATAAAATGAAATGAATCTCTTTTAAGATATTGTTTACCTTTAGGAAGTGTTTAGCTAGTGTTTAGCAAGGAAACGGAAAGAATTTCCTACCGATGTGTAGAAATATAAGTTATCTTTAGATTATATTTCTTGGAATTCTTCTAAGAATAAAATTTTGCCGTTATTTGGTGTTAAATTATATTAAAATTGGAGCTGGTGGATAGGCTACGAAACTCTCTTACGAAGATAAATTGATCGTAGCAAATTAATTTGGTCAATGAACCGGATAGGCCTATAATTAACTCTAGATACAATTGAAATTTATGAATTTTCCATGTTAAGTCTTTGGATTTTATCGAGTTTTTCTTTCTTTCTTTTTTGTTTTTTGACTTTTAAGAGATTCGCTAGTTTGAATTACGCTAAGATGCCAGCACCAAAGAAACTTTTTATTTTCTTTACATCCGAGGTAAGTTAATTAAGAGGAATCGAAGTGTTTGGGATTTTTGATATTGTTTCATCCGGTTTTGCGAGGGCGAATCATCAGACTGGTAGGTCCAGTAAATAATTGTAGGGGACGTGTTGACAGTATCGCTTTTAGATAAGACAGCGGGACATTCGTGCTTTGCCAGATAACGCTATGAATAAAACATGGCGCGGGACAATAGCGTGTCTCCGTCTGTCGTACATGGCTATCACTTCCTCTATTGACGTCCTCCGACTAATCCCGGCCTTCCCGTCTTATCGTGTAGGTAGGGAGGGATACCCTGGCGCGGGTCACGTGATGCAATGAATCACATCGGGCCCACGTGGACCTCCAGATCGACACGATAACAGATGTTTGTCATCCACCCCATCGCGCCTACTCTTCGCCATCCGTATTAATTGTCTCGTTTTGGAGACAACCTCGGTCTTCCGAATTAAGTGGAACGAAATTACTTAACACCACCGGAATTTAATATCCTAAGCCACGTTAGAGTAATTTAATCGGTTGTAAATTTGATATTTTAGTTCGTTTGTCATCGTGTACCAATTAATTTCTGTGTAAATTTTAGTTTTGACAGCTAACTCTCCGTTAGATACAAAGGAACTGGACGATCAGGTGGACAGTCAATTAGAATTGGACTGTCACGATACAGAAAGAGAATCGAGCGTAGAACGAGATTCTGACCTGAGCGGAGCCCTCTCTTCCATGGTGGCCGCCTCGCCTATCAACAGCAGCACCACTTCCAACGGAAGCACCGGATCCGGCGGCGGAACCCCCACCACCAACAGCAGCAAATCCGACAAGTCGATTCAACAGAATGACGAAAACCAGCCTGGAACCAAGAGGAGGGGTCCAAGGACCACCATCAAAGCCAAACAGTTGGAGACGCTAAAGGCTGCTTTCGCGGCCACTCCTAAACCCACTCGTCACATTCGCGAACAATTGGCTCAGGAAACAGGCCTTAACATGAGAGTCATTCAGGTAAAATGATTTTTTTTTCTTTCTTTATTTATTTATTTATTATTATTATTTTTTTTTACTGGCCAACGCGTGTTTCTACAGTTTAAATTCGACTCGTTTATTCCAAATTTTGCCAGATCGGAAAAAAAACTGCCATATAAATTGGCGCGTACTCTATATAATTGCGGTTTAGAATTATGTTTTAAGAAAGGGAAAACGAAGGGGAAAAAAAAGCAAAAACCTGCATTCACGGCACATCTCGGGGAGGTCCGACTAGGGACATCGCGTCTGGACATTTCTATTGAGCGTCCCAAATTGATTTCTCAACTACCGTTTTCACTTATCAAAATATTTATTAAGTGTGTTCGGTGGCCCGAAGATTAAAAAGCAGACGGTGTACGATTACACTCCAACCGGCAATTACGATTTAGGTGTAAATTATAGGTCGAGTCGGGAAAATGACACGGCGGTGCCGCGGACGCACCACACCTTGCCAACCACCCAGCAACCTGCCGGGCAGCTCTTCTTTTTGCATTTCTCACTTTCCTTTCATTGATCATCCGACTGGCTTCTACTTCCTCTTGTAAAATATATGTATCCGAACGAAAATTTTAAGGCTAGACACAAAAGTCAAGTGTTTGTCGTTAATTGTAAAGAAGTCAACTTCTAGACCGGCCACGTTTAGGGTTTAAAATCGTATGCGTAAGTGTAAACGTCACAAAAATGATCCTCCCGCTTGCTCTAGTTAGTTTTTTTTTGTATATGTTCGTCCTTTCCGATCTCACTGACGGGGGAATGACGGAGGTTGAGTCATGCGGGTTTGTCGACGTCTAGAACTGGAAATAAAAAAGTCCGAAATTATTTAAGCTGGAAATATTCCACCGTCATTTTTGAAAACTGCCCCTTAAATACATTTCTGCAATAGTAATCAAAGCGAAACCGAAATCGTCATCCGTAATCTTCAAACTGGAAGAGTTTAAGTACGTGGTAAAATCTGTGTTTATGACTCGGCAAACTGATGGCAACTAACTTGTTTGGTGAATAAAAAGAGAATTTCGAGTGGACGATCGAAAGAGAAATTTGCTAATTTTCCTATCGGACGTCCACTTGCGCCCTCGGGCTCGGCATTTTTCTTTTGGAAGTGGGGCTACTCAGCCGCTTGTCTAGTGAATGCGAACAATGGGACGCGTTGGGTGTCGTGTCGCTCGATTGTTCTCGTGCCACAAACATCCGACGCTCCCCTTGTCACGGGCAGTCTGATTAATACGTCCACTTGTCGCCGTCGTCCCTCGGGGCGGACCGACTCGCTCTTTTGGCTACCTTCGTCCGTCCCCAATTGTTTTTTCCGTCCCCCTCCATCTGCAACTATCGAGTGGAGTGGGTTAATTAAGGGAGCAGCGGGATAATCGGTGTCTCCACTCTATTGACTTCTGTTGACGTTTTGCCTTTACTCTTTGTGATAAAAACGAGCCGGGAGAATGACGGTCTTGCCGTTACGCAACACGCTTCAATTAAAAATCGATGGAAGAAGATGTTGGAGAGTTGCAAAACTCTTTAAATCGAATAGGAAAGGTAAAAGATGGCGGTTTGTCGGTAATTACTTATTGTAAGAAAGCCGGAGTCCAGATATAATTCAGGTAACCTCAATTGACAAGTATGGATGGACCGTCGACCCGGCGTCTCTTTCGGTCACCATCTATCTTCCAGAGGAAACATTCGCATGATCGTCACGTGATCGGAGCGGCGAAAGTTTCGAGACGACGTCATTCGGTTCGCGAGTCGCGCTGACCCCGGCCGTCATCAATCACGCTTCCCTGGGAAAGGGGAGCTCGTTCACGTGACCGGACGGCGCACGTTCAAACTGGTCTTCTCACCTATGTTAACAATGGCGGTGCGCGTTATATACGCACCGTCGGCCGGGCGGTGTTAGAATGGCCACAAATTAATGAAAGTCTAGCGTCCGTCGAAGGGGTGGATGCGCTTGTGGCTTTCAACCTGTAATTTTTCCGCGGAACCCCCGTTGTTTTGGCGTGGCAAAGGTACCACCTCGTCTCACCGAATTGCTACCGTACGACCGTTATCTACTTCCCTCCATCTCGTTAAAACTAGAATTCATAAAGAAGTGGATTACGTTTTACAACATGGCGCCATAAACCGAGTGCCGGGTCCCGGTTTCCACTTTATAGAGGTTGCGTAAAACGAGTCGTAGGCGCTTAGTTATCTTAATTAGAAAAGTGTGTTAATGGCCGGCGATAAAGTATTAATGCCTTCTAATTGGAAGCGTTTCTTGCAGGTGTGGTTTCAGAACCGCCGTTCCAAGGAGAGGCGGATGAAACAACTCAGCTCTCTGGGAGCCAGAAGGCATTTCTTCCGTAGTCCGAGAAGAGCCATGAGGCCATTACGGCCCGGAATGTCCCCAGACGGACTGGACGACAGCCCGGAAATGGTGGCATCCACCAACTCCGGTTTCGCTTACTTTTCAGGTAGGAAAACGTCTTCACCTAACCGATTCCATAATTTAATAAGGAGAGAAGTCATGCGGCGTTCGGGAGTTGCACCATCTGGAGACTCCGCCGTGTTCGCGGCTAATAATTGGACAGCTTTGTGTTTTACTGGTATCTATCTATCTACACCCCGAGCTGTCAGATAGTCGGTGATGGATGAGTTTAGATTTGCTCGGATAGAGGACAAAAACGGTTAATGTCGGCGACTGGCAGCAAATTGCTTCTCTCTCTCTCTCCGCCATTCCTTTACATCTGAATATAGTGAATGTAGTGCTGGAATAAAAAAAAATAAAATAAAAGTAAATAAATTTCAATTCGACTGGGCAAAATGGGGGAAGGAATCGGGTTAGAGAACAGACTCAGCGGGACTTCTTAAGCACGGAAGAGGCACCCGCTGCGACTATTAATAAGGTTGTGTCCTACCGAGCCGCTTACCTCCATCACCCACGCCGTACTCTTGATGGCTTTATTGTGGTCTTGCAGTGCTTAACCAACATTGATATGCTATATCTTCCCCTCGGGTCCGAGTTGTAGAATATGAAGTATCCCCCGCCGGTTTTCGGCGTGACTACGATAGCATCTGACCATTTATACGGCTTATAACTCTTTTGCAGCAGCAATATCTTCTCCGGTTCGCCGAACACATACACAGATTATCGAAGGTGCAACTCCCGACATCCTCGCAATAGATTCAGACTCCCCCTTGTTTGGTCACAAGTTAATTTTTGTCGTGCGGGATGGGGAAGTAGAAAAAAAAGAGATCTTTTTATATAGGGTTAGCTGTTGACAGAATCGAGCCGAGCAAAAAAATAAAAAAAAAAAGAAGTAGCGCGTGTGTACAGAAACCAGGTGTACAATGAATGTATAGGAGTTATACGAAGACTCTATCGATTGGAAAGTTGGTAGCAACGCGTTCCCAACGGACTCTTGTGATCAGAGGAACTGTCAGGTGATTGGCTAGGCGGAACCAAGACCAACCGTAATGCCTCGTTTAATTTCGCGCTTCAGCGACCAGATAAGCCTCCCCTCCTCCGCTCCTCTCCATCTGCGGCGATGGGGGGGAGCGAGCAACACGTGCTGGCGACGCGTTCTACTGGAGGGGAAAACGAAAAAGACTTTTGTCTCAATTTGTGAGAAACTGCAACTTCGAGTTTGGATTTGGGTGCGGAAGATTGGCCAAACCGCGTTAGAAATCGACAATTTAAAGCCAATCCGGAGGAGTCGGATCATAACACGTTTAAAAAGATCTATCGAACAGGTGGATGGGTCATAATTTACTTTTATAAAATGGGTTACTATCGGTCGAATACGTTGTTTTTTTTCTATTTTATTTTTTTCTTTAACCGTGCGATTCGCGCCAAGTTTTGCTACGGATTCCACTAATTCCCGATACTCTTCTACCGCATCCGAACAGGATTTTACGACTTCTTTCCGGGACAACATCCTTCTGACGGCCTACCCTTTCCTCCCAACATCAATGCTGGATCAGCGCCAAATTCCCATTCCTCCGCTCCCACCATCGACCAGCAGCTGTCGACCGTCGGCACAGGTAAGAACTTTGTCCTCTTCTAACGCCAGTCTATCGTCTCCAAAAAGCGCGAGAAAACTCGATCTGGCAGAAAATAAAAAGTGTTTCTTCCTGGTTTTTGCGAGAGACGAAGGGGGAAAAAAATAAAATAAAATAAAATCCGAAAGGACAGGTGCACCTGCAAAAGCAGTTAAATCCGTAGAAGCAGTTAAAGTCCAAGTATTACTAGAAAAAAAGTTGGTGGCAAAGTTTTGGGCAATATCGGTTCTCGTAATGGTTTGTCGTAGTGTTCGCCCCTTCTCCTTAATTGTCCCATCCATCTGCTGCCTTTCCCAGACTCTTCCTGTGACAGTTAAACTGTCTCGTGGAATGTGTTCATTATGTAAATAGCCCAGTTTAATAGACTCGGACGTCAAGCAAAATTTATCGGTATTAATGGACGATAACGAACAATGCCGGATTTTTTCCCTTCTCCTATTGCTTTTTGTGCCGAGTCGGCTTCTCTCGTCCACCCACACCCAGGTTAATGTTTCCGGGTGCACGTCCCCTAGCCTCTGCCAAACAAAACGGAAATACATCACGCTAATAGACCCTCACTTAGTCCTTTTTCGGATTTATTGCCCGTGGGATTAGCCGTGTTTTGTCTTTAATTATGCATTTTCCGTCGTTTCTTTTTTTTTATCTGCTAGATTCTCTACGGTAAGAGGATAAAATCGCTTTGCCAGGCTGTAACTTAATTAAGCGCGTTTGAAGGTTCGAGGACCAACGATGGCAATGAATATAGGAAAGTGTATTTGCAGGTCTATCCAGCGAAACATCGTATTTGGGAGGTGGACACGAAATGATGACGCAGAGAGCGAGCCCCGAAGGTGTTCTTGGTCTTTCGGGTACGGAGCAGTACACAAATCAGCGGTCGTCTAGCGAGAATAGCTATCCGACACTTTCTCACGCTCCTCCTCCCATCAGCGAGACGTCCGTTTGGTGACAAAATCCCGACACCTCTAACTGTGATACGAAGGTTGCCAGGAGCCGTTCATCGTCCGCATCGGGTCAATTCTGTACAGACGGCCGAACAGACGTTCTTCATCGCATCTAAGTTATTCGTCATCAGAAAAAAAAGTACATATCAAAAATTTGAATGTAGTATTAAAGATCATGTATAGTAGGAATTTTTATGTATACTTCTGGGAATAAAGGGACCGAGCTTTCTCTCTTGAGCTACATCCACCAACGATAGAAAAATGTGCACGTTCTTTCATTCCGCAGCTTGTAAAATAAATTTTTCGTTTTTTTTTCCTCGTAAAAGTTCACAAAAATTGGTTGTTTTTGTTAGTAATAAAAATCACATTCCCTTTCGAAGAATGCTTATAGATAAGTTTTCACTCTTATTACTCTTATATCATACAAACAAAAAAAATATATATATATATACCTCCTATAACAAATCAAGAAACAGTAGAAAGGCATCTCTTCTAACTTTAATTTCCAATACAACTCCTTACTAATAAGACCGAAATAACTTTTTACAGAATGATTTTTCTCTTATAATTTATGTTTATCCGGAATTAATCCAAGAAAATTATTATTTTACGGAGTTTCGATGATACTTTTATCATAAATATCTTTGGTTAAAACTAGTAACAGAGAAATACATTCTTTCCAACTTAAACTGGATGATTATCTCTGAAAATTTCAATTCTTCATCCCAATAAAACTGAAATTACTTCGTATACGTACAAATACATATGAAGATGATATCTTAATTTGTCTTCACGTTTATATATTTGTTTTTGGCGTTTTAACTAAAGGAAAATTAACGATAGTAGTAGAACTTTTCAAACATTTTCATCTCGAGATTTGGTCGACACTTTGAAAACAAATAAGAATTTACATCCGTACTCTTCGACAGTCAATAATTATTATGTTAGAGAGAAAAAATATTCAGCTATTTTGGTTATAGCAAAGACAAATTATTCAATCGATGCGGGTCGTCGTTGCTACTAACGCGAAATGTCAAGTCGAAAAGGTACCATTTTTTTTTTTCTCTCTCTCTCTCTTTTTTCCTTCAGCATTAATTACTAGTCGATGGGGAAATATAGATTTGAAACTTGTAAAGGTTTCAAATTTGATGGGTGAATAGTTCAAATTCTATTGATGAAGAAAACTAAGTGTATTATTATATTCAAGTTTTTTTTTTTCTTTTGGATGTAGTAAGTCTATTAATCAAATTTCCTTTAGCCTGCGTCATTTATTTTCTCGACGGATAATTTTTATACAATCTGAAAATAAATTAAAGGCCTATTATAGAAAGTTTTCGGTTATGTCATCATCTAGTGTCATAGGAAGTTCAATTTTTGTGAAGATTAACGCAAAAGAAAACTGTAAGAGTTTTGATTCTTGTAAGAATTTTAATGCGAAACAACGAGAAAGTTTGCTTTTAAAAACGATTTCTGGTAATTCTAACTTAAATTTATTTATTTATTTTTCAAAGATTTATAAAAAGAAAACAATAAACTGGCAATTTTTATAAGAAATAATAATGCAAAAAATACCAGAATTAAAGTTAATTTGCTCATTGATTACGCTCAATTATTTTTTGTATTGCTAAATGAAGAGTTGTTTCTGTATTAAAATAAATAATTCTAAAACGTTGGAAAAATATCTGAGAGAGTCCCGTTTTACAGAATTTTAATTCCAATTGCTAAGTAATTTTTAAACTCGGTACGTAGCTTATTATTATATAGGCTAATATTTTTGTTTAATTACACCGAAAATGGAAGTGTTTCTTATAGAATTTTAACACGAAATACGTTTGATTGCTCTCTCGTATTTCTGTAATACTCATTTTCTTACCAAGATTATAATAGACATAACACGAAACTGAGGAAACGGGTTCGATTTCCGCGAGCGGTACTTACATAATAAGACATAAAAAAGTATTTTTTTTTTTGCTCGTTCGTACTAAAACATAATATATACGAGTATATATATAAAGATTCGTATCGACTTAACAAATCGACGTACAATTAAACGAAACAATTCGAAAATTTCGATGCACGAGGAGGGCATAAACGCGGAACACGAATGTCATTTCGCAGCCGTATCAGAATGCATTATTACAACCTACGGTGAACATAATCAGATAAGAGACACAATAGCGTGCAATTTGCTAGATGCATACGTGGCATATCACGGAAATATATAAACGCGAACACGACAAACACAAAAGCGAATTGATAAAATTTATCGTCGAGATTCTGGAAAATCGCAGGAAAAAAAAAAAAACCAGTTGGTGTACTTTCTTGCAATTAAACCGATGGAAACATTATCTCGGCAGCATCAGAATACTTCCTTTTAAGTGCGATTTAATGTCGTCGATGTAAACGTTTTGATCTGGGCCGCGACGAACAGATCGACGTTTCACAATCCAAACTCCATTTATAACGGAGGTAAGGACTAAATGAAAAGATCAAGCTCAGATTAAAATTCATTTTCGTAGAGGCGACAACGTCTTATTTTGTCGTCATTTCATTCTGTCGTCGAGCGGATGTTCCTATCTTCCAACAAACTAATTAAAACTCTCTCTAGATACGCCTCCAGTTATTTTACCTGGCATTTTATCGAGACGAGAACGACTACAAACCTACAAACACAAAGAAAGATAGCTTTTCATGTCGAAAATTTCTTCGTCCGAGTCCACTCTTCTTGCTAAAACTATTATTATTATTGTTATTCTGGCGTGGAATATTACGAGATAATTTTGTTTTAGAACAGTTGGTTAGTGATATGCGTGAATAAAATTGNTATTTTTTATATAATTTTACTTAATAACGGAACTAAACGACTATAGATGGATAGGCCCTTAACATTATACTATGTAATTATGAGCGATAGTAGTATGAATCCATAATAGAAGTTACACTTCTTGCACAGACATTAATTTTAAATTTAAACAAAAATCCAGATAATGTATACATTTAAACTTTTTATCGATAACTTTGACGAGATATTTTTGCTTTTTTTTTCTCTATTATTATTTAAAATAAAGTCAAAAATCGTAATCTCTATCATAACGCATCATAGACAACTTGATTATCTTCTTACCTTGGAGAAATTATAGAGAAACCAAATGCCATCACTTTTTATACATCCAAAGTAATATACAAAATATGTTTTTCACATTTTTACAACATATTTATGTTCTCGTTACTCTGTTTTTTCTTTATCTTTTATGTAAATAATGATCTAAAAGTCATTTAAAGCGAATTGAAGTTAAAATCCAAACGAAGGGAATTCCCAATTTGATCGAAATGTAATAAACAAACTAAAAAAAAAAAGAAAATACATTATTAAAGTTTGAATAATTAAAGTTTGTGATCGAAGATGGAGGAAGAAAAAAAAAAGGCAATTTTGGAAGCGAACTGGGAATAGCACGTCCCGATTGATATCCTTATCGAAGCAAAATGGTGTAGCCATTCATAAAAGTACCTCTTCAGAAATTGGTACTTTCTACGAACAACTACAAATTTCTTTCTTTTAAGAAAAGAAAAAGTCATTAATTCTACATTATATTCATCATTTACCTTGTTAAGAGAAGAAACGGATAACTCAAGAGAGAGATGCTTATATAAAGTTATCCGATGCGTGCCCAGTCGAGGATTTTCTTTCTTATAGATTAATAAACAAAAATTATCAATGGGGCAAACCTCTTAGACTTACAAAATATATCAAATAAAATTAGTTTTTAATTATATAAATACAGTTTATTAAAAATAAAAACTTACTTTCTATTTCTATTCTAAAAGTTAATTCTAGATAATTTGAGAAGCTGAAGATCGTGTATTGAATTGCTGACTAAAAATTCTTACTTTAATATTACTTTTAAGGCAGATTTTTCACGTTTATGACACAATTTGACTTGATATACAAGGATATAAGATATCATAGCTTTAAATTCTTCGCATCAAGAAAGTTGATTTTAAAATATCAAGATGCCTATGAATATATTTTTATCTTTAAATATTATTAATTTAAGACGAAGATTCGTACAAATTTGTAGTTTTTTATATAAAAAAAATATGGATAATATTAAGGCTTGTATCAATAGAAAATACTACTTTTGAAAGGAATTCTTAATGATTGAAAATGGCATCATCTTCATCGAGGTATTAAATTATAAAATTATTTTGCTTAATTTTGGACGGTAGAATGCCTTATTATTATCGATTCTCTTTAATTAGAATGGAAAATGAATATGAAAGCATGTTGGAAGGGTTTTAAACGAAAATCAAAGAGCGCATTGGGAATTGGTCATGTACCGTACGTATTGACCTGGAAAATGGATAACGTGAAGTCAAACCGAGAAAAAAAGTATGGAAAATCTTTGCCGATGACCGTAGTAGTGGTTCCATAATTTAGATTTACATAATGCGCAAAAATATAACAGAAAATGGCATTTGGCATTCAGCATCGGAACAGCCAGATCTTTCGTCTGATTTTCGAAGCGAAGATCTTTGATGAGATGACGTCATCAGAGATTGAAAAGAATGAAAAGAAAAATTGATCCTCCGCAAATAGGAATCAGATACATTAGCTGGGCCTATCTGACAGACACTCGGATCGCATTCCCATAAAAGCAGTTCTTCTGGTAAAGACAAACGGGAAAACCCGAGGCTAGTTATCGTTTCCTAGTGGGATGGGAGGATGGCACCTGGCCGCATCCGATTCCAAATTTTTCATCTTTTGTATTGGAGTCTAACCGAGCGTTTCGACGTTTCTCCCCGCGCGATATCTAATCCCGATCTTACTTGGAATCTGTCGGGAAGTCTGGACCAATCCCGGTAGCCAACTCGTGTGTTTAGTCTGTCGAGAAATCCGTCCTGATCCCCAGTCTTGGAAGGTAAGCTTTGTCTGTCAGGAAATCTAGTCTAATCCTATCTGCAGACTGCCAGGAAATCCGACCGTCGGGAGCCAGAAGCGGCTTAATCGACACAATCCCCCATCGAACGTTGGTTCACCCCTCGTTACTGCCCTTGTAATGTCATGAAAAACCGATCTGTGTGAAAAGAGCTCCTCATGAATTACGTTTATCGACAAGCCTAACGGGAAAATCGATGTCGTCTGCAAACAGCGCAGAGGGAGGTTGCAGGTGGCCCACCCCACCCCAGGTAACCGATAACACATTTAAGGCTATAAACTCGGAGGACGATGGCAGTTTTACAAGCAAACTTCATCGCAGGACAAAAGGACGCGTCTGGATGAACGTTCCGCCGTTATTTGTTAACCCTCCACTTTCTCCTCCTCCTCCTCCTCTGCAAAATCCGCCCTTTTGGCAACAAGGGATTGAGTTCGCCAACTTTGCCCGTTACGACTTTGGAAAGAAGCATTAGTTTGGTTCGCCTGCCGTAAATACTCCGTAAGAGATGTGAAATTTCTCGATATATCCGTCTACCAGATTTGGGAGACTTCCGCGCGATTTTCTGTAGATCGCAGCACAAAACATAAAATCCCAAATATCTTTAAATATAACCATAAAAATCAACAGGAATTGTGTACGACTTAGAGAACAACGGAAAATGATTCTATTCTTGCTCTGTTAATACTTTTATAACATGTACAGTACAATAGTTTTTACTTTAGGGGTTACCTACATTGCATTGGAACTAAAGTAACAATTATCATTATGAATAAAATGAAATGAATCTCTTTTAAGATATTGTTTACCTTTAGGAAGTGTTTAGCTAGTGTTTAGCAAGGAAACGGAAAGAATTTCCTACCGATGTGTAGAAATATAAGTTATCTTTAGATTATATTTCTTGGAATTCTTCTAAGAATAAAATTTTGCCGTTATTTGGTGTTAAATGATATTAAAATTGGAGCTGGTGGATAGGCTACGAAACTCTCTTACGAAGATAAATTGATCGTAGCAAATTAATTTGGTCAATGAACCGGATAGGCCTATAATTAACTCTAGATACAATTGAAATTTATGAATTTTCCATGTTAAGTCTTTGGATTTTATCGAGTTTTTCTTTCTTTCTTTTTTGTTTTTTTGACTTTTAAGAGATTCGCTAGTTTGAATTACGCTAAGATGCCAGCACCAAAGAAACTTTTTATTTTCTTTACATCCGAGGTAAGTTAATTAAGAGGAATCGAAGTGTTTGGGATTTTTGATATTGTTTCATCCGGTTTTGCGAGGGCGAATCATCAGACTGGTAGGTCCAGTAAATAATTGTAGGGGACGTGTTGACAGTATCGCTTTTAGATAAGACAGCGGGACATTCGTGCTTTGCCAGATAACGCTATGAATAAAACATGGCGCGGGACAATAGCGTGTCTCCGTCTGTCGTACATGGCTATCACTTCCTCTATTGACGTCCTCCGACTAATCCCGGCCTTCCCGTCTTATCGTGTAGGTAGGGAGGGATACCCTGGCGCGGGTCACGTGATGCAATGAATCACATCGGGCCCACGTGGACCTCCAGATCGACACGATAACAGATGTTTGTCATCCACCCCATCGCGCCTACTCTTCGCCATCCGTATTAATTGTCTCGTTTTGGAGACAACCTCGGTCTTCCGAATTAAGTGGAACGAAATTACTTAACACCACCGGAATTTAATATCCTAAGCCACGTTAGAGTAATTTAATCGGTTGTAAATTTGATATTTTAGTTCGTTTGTCATCGTGTACCAATTAATTTCTGTGTAAATTTTAGTTTTGACAGCTAACTCTCCGTTAGATACAAAGGAACTGGACGATCAGGTGGACAGTCAATTAGAATTGGACTGTCACGATACAGAAAGAGAATCGAGCGTAGAACGAGATTCTGACCTGAGCGGAGCCCTCTCTTCCATGGTGGCCGCCTCGCCTATCAACAGCAGCACCACTTCCAACGGAAGCACCGGATCCGGCGGCGGAACCCCCACCACCAACAGCAGCAAATCCGACAAGTCGATTCAACAGAATGACGAAAACCAGCCTGGAACCAAGAGGAGGGGTCCAAGGACCACCATCAAAGCCAAACAGTTGGAGACGCTAAAGGCTGCTTTCGCGGCCACTCCTAAACCCACTCGTCACATTCGCGAACAATTGGCTCAGGAAACAGGCCTTAACATGAGAGTCATTCAGGTAAAATGATTTTTTTTTCTTTCTTTATTTATTTATTTATTATTATTATTTTTTTTTACTGGCCAACGCGTGTTTCTACAGTTTAAATTCGACTCGTTTATTCCAAATTTTGCCAGATCGGAAAAAAAACTGCCATATAAATTGGCGCGTACTCTATATAATTGCGGTTTAGAATTATGTTTTAAGAAAGGGAAAACGAAGGGGAAAAAAAAGCAAAAACCTGCATTCACGGCACATCTCGGGGAGGTCCGACTAGGGACATCGCGTCTGGACATTTCTATTGAGCGTCCCAAATTGATTTCTCAACTACCGTTTTCACTTATCAAAATATTTATTAAGTGTGTTCGGTGGCCCGAAGATTAAAAAGCAGACGGTGTACGATTACACTCCAACCGGCAATTACGATTTAGGTGTAAATTATAGGTCGAGTCGGGAAAATGACACGGCGGTGCCGCGGACGCACCACACCTTGCCAACCACCCAGCAACCTGCCGGGCAGCTCTTCTTTTTGCATTTCTCACTTTCCTTTCATTGATCATCCGACTGGCTTCTACTTCCTCTTGTAAAATATATGTATCCGAACGAAAATTTTAAGGCTAGACACAAAAGTCAAGTGTTTGTCGTTAATTGTAAAGAAGTCAACTTCTAGACCGGCCACGTTTAGGGTTTAAAATCGTATGCGTAAGTGTAAACGTCACAAAAATGATCCTCCCGCTTGCTCTAGTTAGTTTTTTTTTGTATATGTTCGTCCTTTCCGATCTCACTGACGGGGGAATGACGGAGGTTGAGTCATGCGGGTTTGTCGACGTCTAGAACTGGAAATAAAAAAGTCCGAAATTATTTAAGCTGGAAATATTCCACCGTCATTTTTGAAAACTGCCCCTTAAATACATTTCTGCAATAGTAATCAAAGCGAAACCGAAATCGTCATCCGTAATCTTCAAACTGGAAGAGTTTAAGTACGTGGTAAAATCTGTGTTTATGACTCGGCAAACTGATGGCAACTAACTTGTTTGGTGAATAAAAAGAGAATTTCGAGTGGACGATCGAAAGAGAAATTTGCTAATTTTCCTATCGGACGTCCACTTGCGCCCTCGGGCTCGGCATTTTTCTTTTGGAAGTGGGGCTACTCAGCCGCTTGTCTAGTGAATGCGAACAATGGGACGCGTTGGGTGTCGTGTCGCTCGATTGTTCTCGTGCCACAAACATCCGACGCTCCCCTTGTCACGGGCAGTCTGATTAATACGTCCACTTGTCGCCGTCGTCCCTCGGGGCGGACCGACTCGCTCTTTTGGCTACCTTCGTCCGTCCCCAATTGTTTTTTCCGTCCCCCTCCATCTGCAACTATCGAGTGGAGTGGGTTAATTAAGGGAGCAGCGGGATAATCGGTGTCTCCACTCTATTGACTTCTGTTGACGTTTTGCCTTTACTCTTTGTGATAAAAACGAGCCGGGAGAATGACGGTCTTGCCGTTACGCAACACGCTTCAATTAAAAATCGATGGAAGAAGATGTTGGAGAGTTGCAAAACTCTTTAAATCGAATAGGAAAGGTAAAAGATGGCGGTTTGTCGGTAATTACTTATTGTAAGAAAGCCGGAGTCCAGATATAATTCAGGTAACCTCAATTGACAAGTATGGATGGACCGTCGACCCGGCGTCTCTTTCGGTCACCATCTATCTTCCAGAGGAAACATTCGCATGATCGTCACGTGATCGGAGCGGCGAAAGTTTCGAGACGACGTCATTCGGTTCGCGAGTCGCGCTGACCCCGGCCGTCATCAATCACGCTTCCCTGGGAAAGGGGAGCTCGTTCACGTGACCGGACGGCGCACGTTCAAACTGGTCTTCTCACCTATGTTAACAATGGCGGTGCGCGTTATATACGCACCGTCGGCCGGGCGGTGTTAGAATGGCCACAAATTAATGAAAGTCTAGCGTCCGTCGAAGGGGTGGATGCGCTTGTGGCTTTCAACCTGTAATTTTTCCGCGGAACCCCCGTTGTTTTGGCGTGGCAAAGGTACCACCTCGTCTCACCGAATTGCTACCGTACGACCGTTATCTACTTCCCTCCATCTCGTTAAAACTAGAATTCATAAAGAAGTGGATTACGTTTTACAACATGGCGCCATAAACCGAGTGCCGGGTCCCGGTTTCCACTTTATAGAGGTTGCGTAAAACGAGTCGTAGGCGCTTAGTTATCTTAATTAGAAAAGTGTGTTAATGGCCGGCGATAAAGTATTAATGCCTTCTAATTGGAAGCGTTTCTTGCAGGTGTGGTTTCAGAACCGCCGTTCCAAGGAGAGGCGGATGAAACAACTCAGCTCTCTGGGAGCCAGAAGGCATTTCTTCCGTAGTCCGAGAAGAGCCATGAGGCCATTACGGCCCGGAATGTCCCCAGACGGACTGGACGACAGCCCGGAAATGGTGGCATCCACCAACTCCGGTTTCGCTTACTTTTCAGGTAGGAAAACGTCTTCACCTAACCGATTCCATAATTTAATAAGGAGAGAAGTCATGCGGCGTTCGGGAGTTGCACCATCTGGAGACTCCGCCGTGTTCGCGGCTAATAATTGGACAGCTTTGTGTTTTACTGGTATCTATCTATCTACACCCCGAGCTGTCAGATAGTCGGTGATGGATGAGTTTAGATTTGCTCGGATAGAGGACAAAAACGGTTAATGTCGGCGACTGGCAGCAAATTGCTTCTCTCTCTCTCTCCGCCATTCCTTTACATCTGAATATAGTGAATGTAGTGCTGGAATAAAAAAAAATAAAATAAAAGTAAATAAATTTCAATTCGACTGGGCAAAATGGGGGAAGGAATCGGGTTAGAGAACAGACTCAGCGGGACTTCTTAAGCACGGAAGAGGCACCCGCTGCGACTATTAACAAGGTTGTGTCCTACCGAGCCGCTTACCTCCATCACCCACGCCGTACTCTTGATGGCTTTATTGTGGTCTTGCAGTGCTTAACCAACATTGATATGCTATATCTTCCCCTCGGGTCCGAGTTGTAGAATATGAAGTATCCCCCGCCGGTTTTCGGCGTGACTACGATAGCATCTGACCATTTATACGGCTTATAACTCTTTTGCAGCAGCAATATCTTCTCCGGTTCGCCGAACACATACACAGATTATCGAAGGTGCAACTCCCGACATCCTCGCAATAGATTCAGACTCCCCCTTGTTTGGTCACAAGTTAATTTTTGTCGTGCGGGATGGGGAAGTAGAAAAAAAAGAGATCTTTTTATATAGGGTTAGCTGTTGACAGAATCGAGCCGAGCAAAAAAATAAAAAAAAAAAGAAGTAGCGCGTGTGTACAGAAACCAGGTGTACAATGAATGTATAGGAGTTATACGAAGACTCTATCGATTGGAAAGTTGGTAGCAACGCGTTCCCAACGGACTCTTGTGATCAGAGGAACTGTCAGGTGATTGGCTAGGCGGAACCAAGACCAACCGTAATGCCTCGTTTAATTTCGCGCTTCAGCGACCAGATAAGCCTCCCCTCCTCCGCTCCTCTCCATCTGCGGCGATGGGGGGGAGCGAGCAACACGTGCTGGCGACGCGTTCTACTGGAGGGGAAAACGAAAAAGACTTTTGTCTCAATTTGTGAGAAACTGCAACTTCGAGTTTGGATTTGGGTGCGGAAGATTGGCCAAACCGCGTTAGAAATCGACAATTTAAAGCCAATCCGGAGGAGTCGGATCATAACACGTTTAAAAAGATCTATCGAACAGGTGGATGGGTCATAATTTACTTTTATAAAATGGGTTACTATCGGTCGAATACGTTGTTTTTTTTTCTATTTTATTTTTTTCTTTAACCGTGCGATTCGCGCCAAGTTTTGCTACGGATTCCACTAATTCCCGATACTCTTCTACCGCATCCGAACAGGATTTTACGACTTCTTTCCGGGACAACATCCTTCTGACGGCCTACCCTTTCCTCCCAACATCAATGCTGGATCAGCGCCAAATTCCCATTCCTCCGCTCCCACCATCGACCAGCAGCTGTCGACCGTCGGCACAGGTAAGAACTTTGTCCTCTTCTAACGCCAGTCTATCGTCTCCAAAAAGCGCGAGAAAACTCGATCTGGCAGAAAATAAAAAGTGTTTCTTCCTGGTTTTTGCGAGAGACGAAGGGGGAAAAAAATAAAATAAAATAAAATCCGAAAGGACAGGTGCACCTGCAAAAGCAGTTAAATCCGTAGAAGCAGTTAAAGTCCAAGTATTACTAGAAAAAAAGTTGGTGGCAAAGTTTTGGGCAATATCGGTTCTCGTAATGGTTTGTCGTAGTGTTCGCCCCTTCTCCTTAATTGTCCCATCCATCTGCTGCCTTTCCCAGACTCTTCCTGTGACAGTTAAACTGTCTCGTGGAATGTGTTCATTATGTAAATAGCCCAGTTTAATAGACTCGGACGTCAAGCAAAATTTATCGGTATTAATGGACGATAACGAACAATGCCGGATTTTTTCCCTTCTCCTATTGCTTTTTGTGCCGAGTCGGCTTCTCTCGTCCACCCACACCCAGGTTAATGTTTCCGGGTGCACGTCCCCTAGCCTCTGCCAAACAAAACGGAAATACATCACGCTAATAGACCCTCACTTAGTCCTTTTTCGGATTTATTGCCCGTGGGATTAGCCGTGTTTTGTCTTTAATTATGCATTTTCCGTCGTTTCTTTTTTTTTATCTGCTAGATTCTCTACGGTAAGAGGATAAAATCGCTTTGCCAGGCTGTAACTTAATTAAGCGCGTTTGAAGGTTCGAGGACCAACGATGGCAATGAATATAGGAAAGTGTATTTGCAGGTCTATCCAGCGAAACATCGTATTTGGGAGGTGGACACGAAATGATGACGCAGAGAGCGAGCCCCGAAGGTGTTCTTGGTCTTTCGGGTACGGAGCAGTACACAAATCAGCGGTCGTCTAGCGAGAATAGCTATCCGACACTTTCTCACGCTCCTCCTCCCATCAGCGAGACGTCCGTTTGGTGACAAAATCCCGACACCTCTAACTGTGATACGAAGGTTGCCAGGAGCCGTTCATCGTCCGCATCGGGTCAATTCTGTACAGACGGCCGAACAGACGTTCTTCATCGCATCTAAGTTATTCGTCATCAGAAAAAAAAGAACATATCAAAAATTTGAATGTAGTATTAAAGATCATGTATAGTAGGAATTTTTATGTATACTTCTGGGAATAAAGGGACCGAGCTTTCTCTCTTGAGCTACATCCACCAACGATAGAAAAATGTGCACGTTCTTTCATTCCGCAGCTTGTAAAATAAATTTTTCGTTTTTTTTTCCTCGTAAAAGTTCACAAAAATTGGTTGTTTTTGTTAGTAATAAAAATCACATTCCCTTTCGAAGAATGCTTATAGATAAGTTTTCACTCTTATTACTCTTATATCATACAAACAAAAAAAATATATATATATATACCTCCTATAACAAATCAAGAAACAGTAGAAAGGCATCTCTTCTAACTTTAATTTCCAATACAACTCCTTACTAATAAGACCGAAATAACTTTTTACAGAATGATTTTTCTCTTATAATTTATGTTTATCCGGAATTAATCCAAGAAAATTATTATTTTACGGAGTTTCGATGATACTTTTATCATAAATATCTTTGGTTAAAACTAGTAACAGAGAAATACATTCTTTCCAACTTAAACTGGATGATTATCTCTGAAAATTTCAATTCTTCATCCCAATAAAACTGAAATTACTTCGTATACGTACAAATACATATGAAGATGATATCTTAATTTGTCTTCACGTTTATATATTTGTTTTTGGCGTTTTAACTAAAGGAAAATTAACGATAGTAGTAGAACTTTTCAAACATTTTCATCTCGAGATTTGGTCGACACTTTGAAAACAAATAAGAATTTACATCCGTACTCTTCGACAGTCAATAATTATTATGTTAGAGAGAAAAAATATTCAGCTATTTTGGTTATAGCAAAGACAAATTATTCAATCGATGCGGGTCGTCGTTGCTACTAACGCGAAATGTCAAGTCGAAAAGGTACCATTTTTTTTTTTTCTCTCTCTCTCTCTCTTTTTTCCTTCAGCATTAATTACTAGTCGATGGGGAAATATAGATTTGAAACTTGTAAAGGTTTCAAATTTGATGGGTGAATAGTTCAAATTCTATTGATGAAGAAAACTAAGTGTATTATTATATTCAAGTTTTTTTTTTTTTTCTTTTGGATGTAGTAAGTCTATTAATCAAATTTCCTTTAGCCTGCGTCATTTATTTTCTCGACGGATAATTTTTATACAATCTGAAAATAAATTAAAGGCCTATTATAGAAAGTTTTCGGTTATGTCATCATCTAGTGTCATAGGAAGTTCAATTTTTGTGAAGATTAACGCAAAAGAAAACTGTAAGAGTTTTGATTCTTGTAAGAATTTTAATGCGAAACAACGAGAAAGTTTGCTTTTAAAAACGATTTCTGGTAATTCTAACTTAAATTTATTTATTTATTTTTCAAAGATTTATAAAAAGAAAACAATAAACTGGCAATTTTTATAAGAAATAATAATGCAAAAAATACCAGAATTAAAGTTAATTTGCTCATTGATTACGCTCAATTATTTTTTGTATTGCTAAATGAAGAGTTGTTTCTGTATTAAAATAAATAATTCTAAAATGTTGGAAAAATATCTGAGAGAGTCCCGTTTTACAGAATTTTAATTCCAATTGCTAAGTAATTTTTAAACTCGGTACGTAGCTTATTATTATATAGGCTAATATTTTTGTTTAATTACACCGAAAACTGAGGTGTTTCTTATAGAATTTTAACACGAAATACGTTTGATTGCTCTCTCGTATTTCTGTAATACTCATTTTCTTACCAAGATTATAATAGACATAACACGAAACTGAGGAAACGGGTTCGATTTCCGCGAGCGGTACTTACATAATAAGACATAAAAAAGTATTTTTTTTTTTGCTCGTTCGTACTAAAACATAATATATACGAGTATATATATAAAGATTCGTATCGACTTAACAAATCGACGTACAATTAAACGAAACAATTCGAAAATTTCGATGCACGAGGAGGGCATAAACGCGGAACACGAATGTCATTTCGCAGCCGTATCAGAATGCATTATTACAACCTACGGTGAACATAATCAGATAAGAGACACAATAGCGTGCAATTTGCTAGATGCATACGTGGCATATCACGGAAATATATAAACGCGAACACGACAAACACAAAAGCGAATTGATAAAATTTATCGTCGAGATTCTGGAAAATCGCAGGAAAAAAAAAAAAACCAGTTGGTGTACTTTCTTGCAATTAAACCGATGGAAACATTATCTCGGCAGCATCAGAATACTTCCTTTTAAGTGCGATTTAATGTCGTCGATGTAAACGTTTTGATCTGGGCCGCGACGAACAGATCGACGTTTCACAATCCAAACTCCATTTATAACGGAGGTAAGGACTAAATGAAAAGATCAAGCTCAGATTAAAATTCATTTTCGTAGAGGCGACAACGTCTTATTTTGTCGTCATTTCATTCTGTCGTCGAGCGGATGTTCCTATCTTCCAACAAACTAATTAAAACTCTCTCTAGATACGCCTCCAGTTATTTTACCTGGCATTTTATCGAGACGAGAACGACTACAAACCTACAAACACAAAGAAAGATAGCTTTTCATGTCGAAAATTTCTTCGTCCGAGTCCACTCTTCTTGCTAAAACTATTATTATTATTGTTATTCTGGCGTGGAATATTACGAGATAATTTTGTTTTAGAACAGTTGGTTAGTGATATGCGTGAATAAAATTGAAATTATTTTATATATAATTGAATTTAAATCAGGTAAACATTAAATAATCTTGACTACACGGAAATTATAGTCACACTTCGACTAACAACGGTATTATTTTATGAATAAATAAATAAATAAAACTCTTCTTACATCTTATCAAATATCATAAAAATAGGGAAATTATAACTAAAAATAAATAGTTTTTCTTTTCTTAATCCGATTATAATTATAAAATTTCAATCGATTAAACTGAATCCGACTAAAATTACAGTGGAGTTCCCATTCATATAAATTTATACAGTAAAAATGTATACAGTTCATACGAATGAGAAAATTCGTGTAAGTTATAATTTTACACACTTCATCTCTCTATCTCTTCTGAAATTATATCTTTCATAAGAAATATCTAAAGTAAATAGACTTCGTCTCCTTTTCATCTTATTTCATTTCCTAAACCAATTTTAGATTGTTTTATTTAGAAAAAAAATAGTAGTAATGCGGAGAAGGGAAAATAAAAACCTCGTCAGAAATAAAATAAATCAAGCATCAACTTCTTTTATACACAACCACAATTTAATATAGATAAAATAAATTGCTTTCGCGGCCCTTTTTTTTCCCTTTCTTCATCTTCTATAAACAAGGCGTCGCTAGATGCATACTCCATTCTGAAAAAGTCACCTTCTGATTCTTCTTTGTTCGGCAATCAGCCGAGAACAAATCTGTCCACCTTTTTGTCCCATTAGTTATCCCAGGTGGGAGGATGCACCCAATGTCCGAGCGGTTAATTACATTCACGTGCGGACTATCCATCAACTGCCACAAAATCTCCTCCCATTTTATGGAAAATACCTTATTACATCAACCGGATGGTTGCACCAGAACAGATACTCGCATCTGGAAAACTTTTCTTTAATCGTTTCGGCCGTCATTCTCCACCATTGCTTCGTACCAGAGCGCCAGGTTATTCTATTTTAACTAAAGCTTAGAGGTAATAATAGAGCGACTCGCACGTGTTGCGACAACCAATTAGTCGAGACGAAATGCGACACTCTCATTTGGCAGTGACGTATAGAGCCTCTTTCGAGACGTTTCCTGCTTTAGGAGGAAAAAATAAAAAAAAATAATAATATATATATTCCGGTATCAGGTAGCATCGATACGTTTAACCCAGTTTAAGTCCATGTCTTAGTCATCTGCGAAATTCTGCGTTTGCAATCAATGAAAGAACAACTATTTATGACTCCTGCTTCTCTTAACAGTGTAAACACGACCAAGTTGGACTCAGCTATTTATCGATCGCCGCTCTCGGGCCTCCCTAATGTACAGCACGTGTTTGGTTGGGAGTCCCAAGAATTCGCGCTATGGACGCCACCGAGTGTTTGGCATAGTTGAGTGCAACGGGACGAATAAAGTACGGCGGGAAAGAGCGGGCCTGCAATTAAACGCCCTCCTAGACACTAGCTATGCATAAAGATATTCGGATATCCGGTTGTCGAATTTGTTTTCGCGAAATAATTTTTAAAGTATTTTTTTTTTTTTCCGACTATGAGGAAAGTTTTTCCATCTTTGACATATTGACAAACTCGGTTTTCCCTCGAGACATATGGACGGGACAGCCGAATGTATTCTATCAATTTGCCTCCCCTTTACAAACACATGGCAGAGAGAAAGCCATTCCGGTATTTCCTGACAGGAACACACTAGAAGAGTCCGATTTGATGTATGCCAAGACTTTCCAATTACATCGGCTAATGATCCAGAAGTTATACAACAGATTCCGATTACGTCAGCTCGGCCAACCATCAATCACGTGACCGAGCGACCAATGCCGGGAGGCGAAACCGACTTTGGCCCTTACCAAAGAGACGATGTTTACGCGTTCTGCAATTTATGGGGCTATCGAAAGCATCGCGCATGTTCAATCTTATCGATTTTGCGAGTCGAGAAGGCGGGTTGAGATAGGAAGCCTGTGAAATGACGACAAAGGAGTGAAAGGCTTTTCTAAGCCGTCCGTCCCGTAGGGAGATGCCTGACCATTCAGGTCTTCCCTGCTTAGAGCGATAAGCGGGATACATTAGGAAGTATTTGCTTAATACTCCTGCACTGGCGGATCGACTCTCCGTCGAATTCGTGCAGAATTTTACTTTGTCCCTTCAACAAGTATCTGACATCTGGAGTAGTCTGATCGGATGAGGAGAAAGACGATGCTATTCGCCGGTCGACAGACGTCCAAACGAGTTTCTTCAGGTGAATTTACATATAAGAAGTCGTTTTCCTTGACTCGGATGTCATCCTTTTATTTAAATATAACCATTATTAATTCGTATTGCTTCCTTTGTAACGTCTTCCCGACTTTGATTTGCTATAGTCAACTTCCTCTCTACATTTAATGCACCTGCTTCGTTGGAATGTTCCATGTTTTCTCACTACAAATTTTCAACTAAACGAAGCCCAACATATCGTCGTGTCCATTACACACCAACAATGTTCACACGTGTCCAT